TTTCTACTGAGGCTTTGTTTTTCCTCTTTATTTTGATGAGTAGGTTTGTTAACTCTCTGTGGTTACCATGAAATTTACCCTTATCTAAGTTTGAAGTAGTCTATTATTACTTGGTATTGACTTGTCTTCCTCTCCATTAGGAGGTTCTATACCTACACCATTTACTCCCTTTTTTATTGTTCTGATGTTGTTGTCATTTACAGATTAACTGCTCTGACTCCCTGTTGTATTTCTTTTGGTTTTGGATGGTCCTTGAGAGTTCATTTCCTAGATTGGTATCTGGCTGGTACGATCATGTGTCCTAGATTCAGCCTGTGAGCTGAAGTTGTTTGTTCTCAGATGGAAGGACTCCCTTTAATAAATCTTGTTAAGTTTGGTTTGGTTTTATATATTCCCTTAGTTTCTGTTTATCTGGAAATGTCCTAATTTCACCGTCATATTTGAATGAGAATTTTGCAGGATATGTTATTCTTGGCTGGCAATTCTTTTCTTTCAAGGTTTTATATATGTCATCCCATTGCCTTCTTGCCTGCATGGTTTCTGCCAAATAATCTGAGCTTAATCTTATTGTTTATCCTATGTGACTTCTTGTTTTTCTCGAGCTGCTCTCAGAATTGTTTGTTTGTTTTTGGTTTTGGTGAGTGTGATTATGATATGCTTTGGTGATTTTCTTTTGGGGTCTATCCTATAAGAGGGTCTTTGAGCTTCTTGGATGGCCAGCTTTTCATCTTTCATGATATTGGGGAAGTTTTCTGTCAGCAGTTCTTCAATGATCTTCTCTGTGTTTTCTCCCCTTCTTCTGGAACTCCGATCACTCGCTAATTTTTGCTTTGGATTGTATCCCACATAATTCTCAGGGTCTCTTCATTTCTTTTTTCTGAGTTTTCCTCAGAGTTGTATCCAAGTGTTTGTTTTCAATTTTGCTGATCCTGTCTTCCACCATTTCAAATCTGCTCCTCGGCCCTTCTATGACACTGTCCATTTCTGAAATTTTGTTGTTTATCTTTTAAATTTTTATTGGTTGTTTTTGTATGATTTCTAGTTGTGAGTTTATTTTGGCCTTTTGTTCTTGCATTATTTTCCTGAATTCTTCCATTTTTTTGTCCATATTTTCCATGAATTTGTCTATTTTTTCCTCGTTTGTGTCTGCTTTTTGCTTCAACTCTTGAATAATTCTTAATATTAGAGGTTTGAATTCCCTATCAGGTAGTTCTAGTGCCTTTTCTTCTACTGGAAAGTCATCTGGTGTTTTATTTTGGATGCCTACTGGAACCATCCTGTCCTGTTTTTGTAAATGTTTTGATATTGTCTGCTGTCTTTGGGACATTCAGTAGTTATTTTTCTCATTTATTGATTGTAGATTTGTTTCATCCTGGTTTTGTGTTTTATTTGGCTATGTCTAAGCAGGCAGGCTGTGTGTTCTTTGTTGTTTGCTCATCTGTGGGCATGATACTTTTTGCCTCCTTCTCCAACTGGCAGGGTCAGTCGCTCACATATGGTACAGCAGGGCAGGTCTATCTGAAGAGGAGTTGCTGGGATAGGTTGTTTGTGGCACTTACTACGGCCACCAGGGTGGGCCAGTAATCAGTGCAGGGCAGGTTCCGGTAGGCCATGCCTGTGCTGCTTGGTGGCGTGATGTTAAGCACACGGTGCAGGTAGGCAGGATGGAGGTGGGAGATTGTGATGTGTGGAGCTAAGATGGGTATGGGAGAGAGAGAGAGGAAAGAGGACCAGGAGACAAAAACAAAAAAGAGTGCTAGGGGAGCTTCCCATTGGAGTGGAGAGATGATAGAGTATGAAATGGAGAAAAACAAAAAGAAGGGAAAAAAAAGAAATGAAAAAATTAGAAAGAAAAAAGAAAAGAAAAGCCCCGTTTTCCCACTGGTGCAGTTACGAGGTGTGGGAAAGTTGTTCCCAGGCGTTGAAGTACAGCCTGGCTAGAAGGCATAGAGGTGTCACTCAGCATCAGTTATTCAGGGGACAGGAAGAGAAGGAAGATGAGAAACTGAGTAATGAAGAAAGACAAAAAGGGAAAAGAAAACAAAACCAATTTAAAAAAACATAAGAACAAGAAAACCCCCCAAATAGAACAGAAAAAAGGAATGTCCTCAGGGATCCCTCTGTGCATCTTTGCAAACTGAGGGGATAGGTCCCAAGCTGCGCAGTACTGTCCAGCTATAATGGGCTCCCAGTTTGAGAAAAGAAAAAGAAAACAAACAAACAAACAAAAGCCCCGGGATCCCACCAGTGTAGCAGCAGGGACCAGGAAGCAGTTTCACATTCAAGCAGAGTTTCACAGCCTTTCAGGAAGAACCAAAGACGGGGCACGGAGCCAGGTATTTTAGAGAAAGGAGGGGGAGGTTGAGAGAGGTAAGGAAAAAATCAAAAAAGCAGAAAAAAGCAACAGCAGCAGCCAACAAATGGCACTCAGGGAGTCGGCCAGTGCGGGCAGGTTGAATCCAAGCAGCCCTTGCTTCCCGGCCAAGAGACTGTGGCTGCGGGAAGCAGAGGAGGCCCAGTGGGGGTGAAGACGGGTGGAGAGTGGGAAAGCATACATTGCTAGTTACTGGTTATTCTGTCTCCTGCTGGAAGCTCCGTGAAGCTGCTTTCTCGTACCCCCTGTTCGCTGGTCTCTGACAGGAGTCCAAGATGGCGGATCCATGCTGCGTTAGCTGACAGGAGACCTCTGCATGTATCTCTCCTCACTCTCTGTTCTCTGTCAGTTTCTCATTCCATTTAGTGCTTGGCTGAGTTCTTTATCTCTTCGTTTGATGCTTAGGGTTTCAGGATTGCTGTTTTCTCAGTTTTTCGGATCTTTGTTATGGAGGGACAGCGTGGTGCTTCTACCTAGAACGCCATGTTGACTGGAAGTCCTGGCAACTGAATCTTAACCATAGCTTCATATTTTTCATCTCCTTTTCTCAGTGTACTGCATTCTGGATAATTTTTCCAGCCTACTTTTCAGCACACATTCTCTTGAGCTGTAATCTAACTTATGTTAAATCCATAGAGTTGTAAATTTCAATTGTAGTTTCCATTTCTGGAAGACCTTTTTGGTTGTATTTTCAAATTTATTCATTTTTTATCATTTCCTGTTCCCTGCAGCTATTTTTAATCCTGTCTTTTAGTTCTTTAAATATGGTAAACTTACGTGTTTTATAATCTGTTCCTGATTCCAGTATCTAGTTTTATAGGACTGTGTTCTGCCATCTGTTGCTTCTATCAGTTCTTGCTCATGGTGTTTCCTTTTGTGTTTGGTTATTTTTACTTGTCGGCTACTCTTCTTGGTAAATTATGTTTTGGGGATTAAATCATACTATTTATGCATCTCCAAGCTTGCTTTTTTCATGCATTTTTGAGATTCAATCATGTTGATGTTCTATTACTTTTAGCTGCCACATACTATTCCATTGCATCGCTACACAATTTACTTATCCATTTTCTTGTCAATGGAAATTTTGATTGTTTCTAATTTTTTTGACATTACAGTGCTTTCATGGACATTTTTGTATGTCTCCTGGTACATGTGTGAGATTTTCTCTAGGATAAATAAGCAGGAGTACATGCATGTTCAACTTTACTAAGTAATACAAAATTACTTTCCATATGGTGGTTGTAACAACAGACACTCCCACCTCAACATGCATCCTGTTGTTCAACATACTCCTTACAACTTGGTATTTTGTCAGACTTTAAAATTGCATCATTCTGGTGGGTGTATCTGGTTCCTAAATAGACGTTCAACAAATCTTGTCATCTTCCTTTCCAGAGGAGATGCTGAAATACCAGAACATTTTGGAGGTGCTGCAATGCCAATCAGGTTGCTTCTCAGCTTTTCCCACTGTAGCATTAGAAGTCAGCCTTCTCAGGTCGGCTAGGATAATTACCACTAAACTCTATGCTTTTCAACTTTCAAAATTTTGTGGCTAGCATTTATTTCTCTTTATTTTTGTCTTTGTGAGATAATGCCTTAAAAAAAAAATCCTTTGGCTGTTTTAATGCTGTTTCAGGAGGAAGAGTTAAATGTGGTATTCAAGGCATAATCTTTCATCATGCATTGATTTTTAAATTTGAATTAGTTTTTTTAAATATCTAGATGGCTTTTTGGCTATTTTTCAAATATATTTGGTCATTTTTGCTGCTCCTGTTCCTTGCTCAGTTTTTGATTCCACCTTTTTTTTCTTTAAACTTATCATATACACAGTTACATTCTGCATGTGACAATTTTAGTATCTAATGTTACTGCATGGTATACTGGTTTCTTTCTTATTGCATTTGCCTTTTACAGGCACTCAGATTAAAGGTTCTTTGGTTCTGGCTCTAAGTTAGTCTTTCTCCATCTGTTATTTGTTTTAAAAAAAAAATGAATGAACTTCTTCTTTGATTTCCTCTCTCTCTTTTTTTGTCCTTGTGTTGTTACACTTTACTGTCATTTTACTGGGATTTCAGGAAGGAAAAAAATTATATCATGGTCAGTAGGTAAAATTTAGCTGAAGTCTTCCAACTAAAATATGTAACATGGAAACACCATGTTTTTCTCTTCCTAGAAGTATATTAAGTAAAATCACCCCATCTAAGAGCCTAAATACATACACACACACACACGAGGCAAATACTGCTGAATCTGCCAACGAATCTTTTGTATCAGCATCTAGATATAACTTGTAGAAGGTGGTGAAACTGGGATTCAGTAGTAGAATACACGAAAGCAATTTATATATATTTCTGTATGATAAAATGAAAGCTTATTCCACTCATCCTAAATCAAGAAAGATGGAATTTTAAGCACTTGAATTTAAAAGCAACATATTAACTTTATATCAGTAATACTTACTAAAGCTTTCTTAATATAGTAGGCATATACTTTAGGAGAAAAACACAATGGAACAGAAAAATGGATGATCAGAATTGAACAAATACAATACTGAAACCATATATATTAGCAGGATACAGATTTGTAACTCAGGTCACATTTTAATATAGCTTTTTAAAATGCTTCCAAATATAACTACAAATGTAATCAGGGAAAATACCTGAAAGAAACGTGTATCTTAACCATTAGTACATTGTTTTAAAGAACTATTTTCCTTAATCTTTGGCTTATTACATTAGGTTTATAAGGTATAAACCCACTGATATTTTCATTTGAGTATTTTACAAAATTCTTATTTTTAATAGGGAAAAAAGTCTCCTTTAATAAACCGGTAAAGACCGTAAGTTGATAAACCTTTACTTTTAAACATCTGATTTACTATAAAGTAGCAATTAATAATCCACACTCCTCCAAAAATCCAGCTTCTCTTCTATTGTAAAAATTTTTATAAAAAATGTACTCTGAGTATAATAAAATCTCCATATTTGTTTTTTAAAAAAATCAACAGATACACCAGAATAATTCATTAAGAAGTCAGATTTAACAGTACTCGGCTTGCTAAGGAAAACATCAACATGGAAGACATCTAACGAGAGTCTAAAATGCTTTTGTTGTGGCAATAAAAAGGTGAATCTTTATACTGTAGTTAAAGTAGCTACTCCCATAGTTTTTACAGAGAAAAATCAGTATATATTCCTTTGTATATTATAGAAACTGTTAATTTTTTAAATTATCAATTTGGGTTAAAATAATTTTCTAACTCACCATGAAAACATGGATTGGCTATGATGAATCAATTATTTAACAAATTGGGTGAATGTTTCTATTGACCTAAAAGTAATTGGCTAAATCCAATAGCTGGGTCAGGAAGCTATAATACAGTCAGAAAAGAAGAAGAGAGGTCAGAATACTTTTTGTGGAATGGAAGAGCAACAATTTTAATTATCTATTTCAAAATACTGAAACATTCTGGGCTCAGTCTCTACTACTTTTAAAACATAGCAGTAAACCAAACATACTAAAACATGAACCCTACGTAGTCATCAAAAACAATTTTCTGCTGCATAAATAAAAAGTGCTTGTAACTAGTAACATACACTAAAAATGTCAACTCTTAAGAGCACAAATGGTCTATGTCTCACTGCCAGCAATGAGAGTAGTATATACCAGAGAACACCATGATATTTACAAAAGACAAAAAAAATATATTCAATTATCTCCTATAGTTCTGTTATCATTATACCATTGAGCATAAAATAATCTTCTTTTGACATGGTAATTAAAACAAAACAATAATATTATGGAAGAATAAAATCCAGGAAATCCTCCTTAAGGATTTCTGATCATTATGTGATTGTACTAGTTTATAATGAAGTTAAATATGAATAGAAGACAATTCTGAAAAATAAGACTAATTTATTTGTTTTATAAAATAAAATAGTATGAGAGATCTTAGTTTAGATAGTCAAGAGGTGACAGCTTTAGGTGTCATCTTTATCAAGAATAGGTTCATAGTATTTCTCATTCACTTATATAAGACAGGAAGGGAAATTCTAATTCCTGCTACCTGCCCAATCAATTTAAAAATTCTTCTTAAGGATATTAAAATAATAATATCTTGGATTTTGGTTACTCTTTAAAGTCAAAATTTCCAGAGACTCTGGAAGCAATGAGTTCAATTTGGTGTCTTCTTTTGTTCTGGGATAGAACAACAGGTTCACAGCACTGTGATTCCAGCTTTCAAATGCCGTGACCAATTATTTGAGAGTTATAATCTGCAGGCTCCATTTTTAAAATATGTGGGATGACACTGTCAATTCGTACATTCCCAATAAGACCTTTGAAAAACAATTCTTCAGTGATTGTAGCATTCATCAATCTCAAAGCCGGCAATCTGAGGAGTAGTCTGGATAGCCTGAAAAAAAAAGAAAGAAAGAAAAAACATGGGGGAAGTGGAGTGTTAAGGTTGTAAATTAGAAAGAAATTCAGTATAAAAATGAGTAATTCCTGTATATATATTGATTGTGGCCTAATTTAATAAAGACCTCATTTTTAAAAGTTAAAATCAAAGCTTTTGTATTCTCAAGCCTTCAGACTGTATGACAATCACTTGGATATGAATGCAGGCCTGACAGGCTCCATAGCAAAGCTTTGCTCTTAACTGCCATGCTATGCTGCCTATGCTACTTGCCCAAGGTTTTATAAAGCTAGTAAGTAGTAGAGATGGGATTCAAACCCAGGTAGTCTGGCTTTGATATCTGCGTGTTTAACTACTCTGCTATACCATCCCTCTTCCAAAACTGAGCTGATCTGATAAAACACAATTTATTTTCAAAAAACATTGGCAAGAAATAGAAATATCACAAGCCCTGTTTCAAAATTAATTATAAAATACTGTCTAATAGTGTTTTTTCATTCACTGAAACATTTTTCCCACTTTTACGATTAAAATTCACTATTTCCTCTGAAGAAAACAAAGAGTTTAGACTCTAGAGGCAAACTGCCTGCATTCAGTCAGGCTCTGCCATTTACTGTGTTACCTTGAACAAGTTACTTAATCTCCCTGTGCTGAAAACTCCTCTTACAGAAAATGTGAGAACTGGATGAAATACTACATGTAGAATGCTTCTTATGCACTGTTGCTATCAACAGCCAAAAGCATTCGCTATTTCAAAAGTCAAGTTAATTACCCTTGGAATGGAAAATAATGAAATAATAGATGGAAAAAAGTTTTTAAAATGAATTTAGTTACTTAACTTTCACGTACCTGTAGGTGTCATCTGGATATGTTTTGGTTATATAATCTTGGAATTCCACATAAGCCTTTTCTTGAAATTTTTCAATCTGTTCCATGTTTTCTAGGCCTGGATGATCTGAAACATTACAGAATATATTATTATCCTAGTTCTAAATGCTCATTTAATAAAGCACTAGGAGTGGAGATGAAAGGGGGTGGCAAATAGTTCTGTCCCTCTCCCCAAAAAAATACCATCATGTAATATTTGGATCTTTCATTTCACAAATATTTATTGCCCACCTACTACATATCAGGCACTGTACTTTAATCACTTAAAACAATTTAATCTCATATACATACTCTAAAAATGAGACAAATGGGTTCTACCAAAACAGCTTTCTCCTCATTACAAAAGGGAAAGAAAGGATTTTGATCATTTTGCTTTCAATAGGAAACAAAAAATGAAATGACTCAGTTTAGTCAGAAAATCTTTAATGAAATATTTGCAGATTATATTCAATACTGAATTTTTAATAAGAAAAAAACTATTGTTAAGTAAAAAGGGTGTTTATGAAATTATGATAGTAGAACATCATTTCTATCAGAAAAAATTTGATATAAACATGAAATAATCTCTATAAACATTTCAGTGGTCATTATAGCATTTCACAAAAATGGAATTATTGAAAGAATTTCATAAAAATTATGCCTGACTTAAGATATACTTTTCTGAAAAGTATGGAAAGCTCTGTCCTCACTAAAAGAATAAAAAGTGATAAATAGAAAAATACTGGAAATATTTAATCAAATAAAATGACCTTATAATTCTAACTTCAAATCTATGTTCTTTTAATTTTATATAAAATAAAAGTGGCAAACTGTAATAAAAACGGACATACATGTTGTTAACTCTTGTGAAACCATAGATGAGATAGTACAAAAAAGCTTTAACTATCTTGTTGGTACCAATGAGGAGAAGAGGCAAAATTTCTCAGGTAACTTTATTATGCTGCACAGGAATAGAAACCCATTTCCAAAATGAAAACTACAGGACCTAAAAAGTCAATTCTGTTATTCAGAAATTGACCACTGAGCTTACGGTTATTTTATGTGAAAACTATAAAACTGATAGGTAAATAAAAGGTCCATTTTTCCGCAACAGAGGGTTCTGGACAGAGCTGGAGATGGATGTAGAACAAAATTCTAACACACACAAAAAAAGACCAGATTTACTGGCCTGAAAGAGACTGGAGAAACCTCGAGAGTATGGCCCCCAGACACCCTTTTAGCTCAGTGGTGAAGTCACTTCCGAGGTTCACCGTTCAGCCAGGGATTGGACAGCCCCATATAACAAAACGGGACTAATGAGTCACAGCAGTCCAGGGACAAGGACTAGAAGGCAGAAAGGGACAGGAAAGCTGGTGATAGGGAACCCAAGGTTGAGTAAGGATAGTGTTGACATGTAGTGGGGTTGTTAACCATTGTCATAGGGCAACATATGTACTGTTTAATGAGAAACTGTTTTGTTCTGTAAACCTTCATCTAAAGTGAGAACAGCAACACAACTGGAAGAGTGTAGTTGATGTCAATGAACTGTGCATGCAGAAATTTTTGAAATGGTGTATCTTTGGCTATG